AATCTCCTCAGCCACAGGAGGGAGCACATGGAGGAGCAACTCTACCACTGCAGCTACTGCAACCAAGGCTTTACTAGATTGGATGACTTCAGGATGCATTCAAGACAACACTTTTCAACTTTCTCCTGACCAGAAACCGACTGGCCAAACAATACCTTAGCTAGTACAATTATATTTCTTCTTACCAGTAATTCTGAGAACCCCTACTACATGCTATTGTTTTTAAATAAATACTAAACTAATAAAGTTGAAAACATGAAGCAATTAACATGTGTGCTAAGGATCAATTATTTTGCCCATGTGAAGCTTTTAAATTTCCCTTTATTTAGACATAGATAACCAAAGTTTTCTTTGAGTTATTATTATTAGTGTGTCCACTAAGGAACTTCCAAAATACTAATATTAAGCTATTGTTTCAAGTATTTATTGTACCACAGTGGAAAAAGTCTCAATATTTCTGCAAACACCATGCGTGGGACTTTATCAGCTATTTTAGGTTTAGAATACTATTTGCTCGTTCAGGCACTCAACTTTCCATGAGCCAGAAACCAATTGTATTTATGGCCATGTGTCTGTGGTTGAAACACAAGCAGAGGAAACCCAGCTCCCCAATGCTTGTGTCTGGAAAAGGATGCTCACGGGTTCCCCTGACTCCACAAACAAATTTATCTTGAAATCAGTACTTTCAGCGGACCTTTGCTTTCTTCCTATGGCAGCTTTCCTCATACCTTAGTAATAGCAAAATGTTATGTGTACATTGTGTTATATCCATCACCTCGGCTTGCTAATCTCTAAGTGCATTTTTATATTTCCATTTAGGTGTGAGTTTCTGTGCGAGTGTGTGTGCAGGTGTTGGTATAATCACTGAAAATCCACATTGCCTAAATGGTTGGATCTTTTGACTATTCTGTATGCTGACAGCCAATTTACCAGATAAAATTATGACCTTCAAAGAGGAGACACATTGTTTCTTTTCCCTTGTAACTTTCCATGATTTGTTTCTTGTGAGTGGAGAAGATCAGAGCATTTGTCTCTGCTTCTGCCTAATCCTGTTCAAGGCAGTTAGTTCCCGTCAGTCTCCAAGGTTTGGTGAGTGTTTAATCACTGAACCAGAAAGCTAAAATGTCCCCACGTGGTTTTCTCCCTCTGCAGCAAAGATCAGCTGGGATTTTGAGTGCGTACACCTGAGGGCTCTTGTTACTCTATGCAGTTTGTAGCTACAGGAGGGTAGGATTTGTGGGTGCATGAGGCAGATGTGACAGCTGCTAGGTAAGGGGAGGGGTTCCTGACTGTGACAATGCTGCCGGGAGAAGGACAGAGTATGACACAGTTCTTTGGAAGTTGGCCCAGAGCGTGGACCATTCTAAGACTAATTGAGCAGAATAGTCTAAAACTTTGCCTGGTTTTTAAAATGGGCGAACAGATCCAAATTTCAGCAGAAACATAAAATGTCAGAGAGCAACCAAGTTAGGAGGCAGTAAATAGAGATCATTGCTCTGTATACATGGGCACTCAGAGCATGCACGAGGTAGATACCTCAGAAATCCATATGATCCCCCTGTTGTCATTTCCTTTCACTCGTCCTAAATAGTTAAAATACTTGTTGATAACTGTGAATCTTGCATTCATATGATTTAGGGTTTATTCCTTACCCTTGATCCTATAAATATATTTAATACTAATAAAATCCATTTAATCTCAGTAAAGTTATCAAAAGTCCATGATAAAGGCATTTTATACAAGTTAAATATAAGTATCTTTAAAGAAAGCATGGAATACAGAAATCCAAAATCCACCAAAAGCCCATGGTCATCATCTGAGTTCATGTGACTAGATACCTGGAGATTGAAAAGGAGCCTGGCATTGTGTGGACCGCCCATCACAGGCACTTAACCACCTGGTCCTGAGAGTCCTGGACCCCATGGAAGCAGGGAATGGGCTCCACAATGCGAAGGTACCAAGGCCTACCACAGTTCGGACCCCAGAGGGAAGGGTTGAAGTGGTGTTGGTGAAAACATACAGGAAGCAATGGTCACCGAGGCCTCTTTAAACAGTACAGGACTTTTAAAAGCTCAGCACTGTGGGGTTTGGTATTTTAAAACTAGTCCTTGTGGTGTTGATAGGCACAGACTATGGGCAGCTGGCATAGACTTGGAGCTGCCTTTAACTGTATCAGCGGTTACATATGTCAATCAAAGATTCAGTTCTGGTGTGGCAAAGCAGTCTTGCATGGGGGATTTGGGTTTCAAAAAGTGTCACTATCTGCTCAGAATAGTGGAATGTGAGAGGAACACTGGGGGCATCAGGAGGCAGAAGTAGAAAGACAGGAAGGTTGTTTGTGCTGCAGAGGCTGAGGGCTTCACAACTCCAGGCACTCTTAGCTGGAAAGTAGCCTTGGGCAAAGGGAGGCTGTGGAGGAGGATTGCTTGAGTCCAGGAGTTTTTACCAGTGTGGGGCACATAAGGTGGTCTTGGTCCAAGATAAAACAAACAAACAAAAATACAAATGAGTAAGCAAATGAATAAAATTGAAGAAATTGATTACCAAAATATACCACTGGTGGCTCTCCACTGTAATCCAAGGTTAAAGCAGGAACATCTAGATTTTTCATTAAGTATGGCATAAAGGAGTCCTTGTATAAAAAATCAGATCAATCAACAAATGAAAAAACTATATATTATCAATGCTAGTTGATGGGAAAGTCTAAATTATGCCTCAACTTAGGCCAAGCTAAGGATATGGAATCTAGGAAAAGGGTAAAGAGCATCACAAATTTACATTAAATAGTCATGAAGAAGAAAGGGGGGGGCATGTTTTCCATGGAAGGAGATAGGCACAGCCTCAGTCTGCAGGATTCCTCGTAGACTAGAACTCAAAAGTAGCTTTTCAAGTATTTTCTGCTCTCATTTTTTTTGTTCTGTCCTTGAATTGGCTCTGTAGACCAGACTGGCTTTGAACTGACAGAGATCTGCCTGTCGCTGCCTCCTAAACTCTGGGATTAAAGAAGTGGGGTACTAAATCCGGCAAAATACATTTTTGGAGACAGGGAAGTTGTATTCATAGGAATTTTTACTCTTGACTCTATAAATATGTTTAATGTTCAAAATTTCAATTTAAAACATAGTATAGGTGTGAATATTTCAAGATGAAGTACTTTTGTTTAATTCATATCACTATATTTTTTCCCAAAGAGTTTGGAATACAGGAACCCAAAATTCCATAAACTTCTCACGATTTTTATTTTTTGACTTTTTTCGGGGACAGTTTGAAAATTAAGTTGGAGCCATGGATTATACCTATAACATCTCAGGCACTTAGCTTAACCGTGTGGGGCTTCTGAACTCTCATAGACACAAAGGTTTTGCACAGGGCCAGGTCACCAAATGGCTAAGCACAATGTCAAGTCCACAGAGGAAAGGCTGAGTGAGGGCCATGTTGGTGTAACCATTTGGGGACCAGCAGACAAACATGTATCATTGGGCAGTGCTGATATTTTATGCCAACTGGCTCTGTGGGGTGATGAACAGAGACTAAGCACCTGGCATACCTTGCAACTGTCTGATGACAGGCATGTGTTTCTAAGGGTGTCAGCCCTTGACGGGGTCAGACCGTCCTGGAGGAGGGAAAAGAAGGCATCCAAACCTGCCATTATGGGCTCGGAATAATCATTCATGGCTGTGCTACTGTAGGCAATCAGGAGGCCGGGGAAGAAGGGCTGCAAGATATTCAGGGTTAAATGTGAAAACAGCAGCCATTCTCCAGTCCTAAGACTGAACCCCTTGGCTCCTGTGACTCCCAGCACCACGCCATTGTCTTTAAACATGAGAGTATTTCTAAACACGATGAGACTGAAGGGTAAGGATAGGCTTGAACTCAGCGGCTGCGGTCAGCCTGTTTGACGCAATGAGAACCCACTTAAATACACCATTTTAAACCAAAAATGCAAAACAATCAAGAAAAAAACAAAACAGTTTCAATAAGTGTCATCTATAAACTAGGCTTATATAAGATGTTTGAGAATTGTAGGTGAACCTGCCCCTAAGAAGTAGACCCTGTACCAAAAAAAAAAAAAAACAAAAACAAACAGATAAAACAAAAAAAAATTGTTACCAGTGCTAAAGTGATCAGTGATTTTCAGTTTTTCGTACTATAAGGAATTTGTTTAAATATGCAACTGTCAAGGGCAAGGTCTCTGCATAGTTCAGCAGGTCAGTAGAACCAGAAACTCACGGTTCTGTCTTTATGTTAGATCTCAGAGCTAAGCGCTTAGGAAAATCTCTTCACCTGTAGCTGTCTCTGCAGGTCCAGCTGTCTGCAGTTTCTGCTTCCTCTCACGTGCAGGTCAGGCACCATAAACCCTGCACTGAGTCTGGGGTAGGAATGGAAAGTTCAGTTTCTCCTCACAGTGGCTTTTTGGGAAATCCCAACATAGAAGCCCTGCATCCTTGGCCAGGTGACTTAAACACCCTCTGCTTCCCATGTGTCTGTGGGATGAGCTTACATAAATATCCCAGATCCAAATGGCAGATTAATAAATGTCAAGGAGATGGAATGTGCATTGCCCACCAACCTATGAGATACAGAAATTCACATCCTGGGTGTTCACACAGGGACTCAGTTCCTGAGAGCAAAATTGATCGACTTAACCCTCGATTTGTAGGTAATTCCTTTGGCCCAACTGTGTTCCATTTCTATACCTGCAACTCTCTAGGAAGAGCAAAGTAAAACTGCCTAACTCCTTACTACTGTGATATGGATGGAAAGATCCAAAGTGCAGCTTTTTGCTGTTGAACTACATGGCTCCTCTGTTGGGTCATTTAATCATCTTATGTATTGTAAAACCTTTAGAAAAGAGCTTAATCAAACCCTCTAGATTGGAGTTCATTGTCAGAGGGCGTGGCCAACAAAGGGCAGAACTCTCAAGCCCTGCCCACTTCCTACTGAGCTTTCTATAAGAAGACTCCAGATTCTAGAGCTGAGTACCTTTCTCCCTGACCACCTTCATCACAGTCCGTGCAGGTCTGACGCCGTGGCCTCCAGCTCACATTCTGGAGCTGCTTGGGTCTAGCATCTAGCCTCTGTCTGTCTTCATATTGGACGCCTCCTCATGACTTAAGCTCTCAGAAGTGAAAACCCAGTTCCTCAAGATGTCCTCAGATTCTGCAAGTGTTAAGGAAACTGAGGAGCCCCAGCAGGTCATCCCTGAGCCATCTATGGACCAGAGAGAAACCCCAGGGGATCCTGAACCAGGACTGTGCACCCCTCAGACTTCTCCTGTGGAGACCAGCCAGCTTGAGTCAGCTCAGAGCCAAGTGGTGCTGACCTGTGATAAAACAGCTGTGACCTCTGAATCCTGTAGCACAGGTCAGAGCCAGGCGGTGCCTACCCATCATGAACCAGCCATGACATCTCAATCTTTGCCACCAAGCTCAAGGGCAAATCCTGGAAAAGACAGCGATTTCCAACCTGGAGAGACAAGTGAGACTGTTGGTTTTCAACAGGCAGGTGCATCTGCAGACCAGCCCATCAAGGAGGAGGACCGAGAAACACCTGTCTCTGGGGCCCAGGCCTCCGACTCCAGTCAGAGTGCACCTAGAACTAGTGAAGACTTTGTACCTAATCCTGAGGGCCCAGTTCTGTTTTGTGTCCCAGACCCTTGTCTTGAGGGGTTCGTCTTTGAGGATCCTTATCGTGGGGCTACGTACACAATTCCAGCAGGTGTCATGATGGGTGCCCATGGTCCTCAAATGTTCTCATTTCCATCTAGAAGCAAAGGAGCTCAGAAGAAAGTCCCTGTAGGAAAAAGGGCTGTAATGGCACATCCCTCGAGAAAACCCCCGAGAGCCCAGGAAAACTATGGCCAGCAGGGAGCCTCCCAACTTCAGAATATTGGCATCTCTGAGAGTTCAGCACCCAGTGGAGAAGGCAGCCATGAAATTCAGGTGGCTTCAGGTGAATCCTCAGCTCCTTCCCATTCTCCCTCTGCATCAAGGCAACCTCCAGAAAGTGGTTCAGATTCCCCGGCTGTCCAAAGAGTGCATCCCCAAAAGAAGTCAGACCCAGAGGACCAGAGCTCTGTGTCCCAGAAGAAGCCTCAGAGTTGAAGCCCTACCTCTGTACCTACCAAGATTATGGGAAACCTTACACCAAGTCTTTACACCTCAGAGACCATCTGAAGATACCCATTGGGGAGAAGTTTTATGTGCACCATGTTCCTTGATGCCCATGGAAATTCTCCCCCTCAGATTCTGTCAGCAGACACAGGGGAACCCGCACTGGGTAGAGTCCTACCAGTGCATCTCTTGTGCCTGGATGTATTCCGGATTGGACTCCTCAAGCAACCTTTGAGATTTCTTTCCTAATCATCATCTTGTAACCTGACTGCCCGTAAACAGTATCTTCCCTAATTAACGTTTATTCTGCCCACAACTTTGAGAACCCCCACTAGATGCAACTGTTGCTTTTAAATGCAATTCTAATAAAAATCACTAATATGAAATCACTACCGTAAAAGGTAAGGATCAATTATTTGGTGTAAGTGAATCTTTTTAACCATTGGTTAATTCAAAACAGGGTTTCTGTTTCTAAGTAGAGGAGAGTAGGTTTTGTGGGTGCAAGAGGCAGATCTGACCGCTGCTAGATAAGGGGTTGTGTCCTTGATCATGGGAAAGCTGATGGAGATGTCGTTCAACCAGAATGGTAAAAGGTCCCCACGTGGTTTTCTCCCTCTGCAGCAAAGGTCAGCTGGGATTTTGAGTGAGTACACCTGAGGGCTCTTGTTACTCTATGAAGTTTGTAGCTACAGGAGGGTAGGTTTTGTGGGTGCATGAGGCAGATTTGACAGCTGCTAGGTAAGGGGAGGGGTTCCTGACTGTGTCAATGCTGCCGGGAGAAGGACAGAGTATGACACAGTTCTTTGGAAGTTGGCCCAGAGTGTGGGCCATTCTAAGACTAATTGAACAGTACAGTCTAAAACTTTGCCTAGTTTTCAAAAGGGGTGAACAGATCCAAATTTCAGCAGAAACATAAAATGTCAAGAGAGCAACCAAGTTAGGAGGCAGTAATTAGAGATCATTGCTCTGTATACATGGGCACTCAGAGCATGCACGAGGTAGATATCTCAGAAATCCATATGATCCCCCTGTTGTCATTTCCTTTCACTCGTCCTAAATAGTTAAAATGCTTGTTGATAACTGTAAATCTTGCATTCATATGAATTAGGATTTGTTACTTTTAATCCTATAAAATATTTAATGCTCACAAAATATTTAAACCAAGTAGAGTTTTCAAAAGTCCATGACAGAAATTATATTTAGATGTCAAATGTTAAGTGTATTTTTTAAAAAAGCATGGAATACAGAAATCCAAAATCCACCAAAAAATCCATGGTCATCATCTGAGTCTATGTGACAAATACCTAGAGATTGTAGGGTAGCCAGGCATTGTGTGGACAGCCCATCACAGGCACTTAACCACCTGGTCCTGAGAGTCCTGGACCCCATGGAAGCAGGGAATGGGCTCCACAATGCGAGGGTACCAAGGCCTGTCACAGTGTAGGACACCAGAAGGAAGGGTTGAAGTGGTGTTGATGAAAACATACAAAAAGCAATGATCATCCAGGTGCCTTTAAATAGTAGAGGACTTTTAAAAGCTTGGTATTGTGGTGTTGGGTAATTTAAAATTTGTCCTTGTGGTGTTGATAGGCACAGACTATGGGCCCTTGGCATAGACTCGAAGCTGCCTTATTTGTGTCAGAGGTACACATGTAAGTCAAAGATATTCCATCCTGGTGTGGCAAAGCAGTCTTGGGCAGCAGTCTGGTTTCCAAAAACTGCCACTATCTGCTCAGAATAGTGATATATAGGACGAACACTGGGGCATCAGGAGGCAAAGGTAGAAAGCCCAGTAGGTTGTTTGTGCCACAGAGGTGACTGCTTCAAAACTCTGAGCATTCTCAGCTGAAAGGAAAGTAGAGCTAGGCACAAGAGAGGCTGTGGAGGAGGACTGCTTGAGTCTAGGAGTTTTTTCCAACCTGGGGAACATAACAAGTTTCTTTGTCTGAAAACAATAAAACAAACATCCACATAAATAAGTAAAGCAGAATACCCTGCGCCTCTCTATTTTAATCCTTGGCTGAAGCAGGAGAGTCTACAATTTGCACTCAGCCCTGGAATAAGAGGCAATCATTGCATCAAAAAAATCAGACCAACATATAAATTCTATTATGAATGTTAAGTTAACCAGATGTAATTTTGAATAAATTATAGCTGCCAAGGAGCTAGAGTCTGTATGGCTTCAGGGCTGATTAGATCTAGAAATCACAGGTGGGATGTTTACACAGGGACGCAACTCCTAAAAGTAAAATCCTTTGGCTTACTATCTGGATCTAACTCCGTCGGTCCATTATGTTCCGTGTTCCTCCTACCTCACCAATGAAGAGATCAGCAAATTCCCTCCAACTACAGTGCTGTTGTGGATGGCATGATTCAAAGTGCAGCTTTGTCCTGCTGAGACATCTGTAAACATGTTCAAGGAATTCCTTGCCCCTTGGCTAGATGAGTCAGTGACCCATTGAATTCTAATACCTGGGTGAGACTTCAGTGGGTTCTCTAGGTGTGGATCTCAGACCCACAAAGGTCAAGCCCTATCATTGCCTAGTCTCTGAATCTCCACCCACTTCCCAGCCAAAGTGCATGAAAATTGACTCCAGACTCTGGAGCTGAGACGGTGTTTCTCAGTCAACCTTACAGCCCCTGAAGGTCTGAAGCCCTGGCCTCGGCTCACATTCTTACTGGCTTCTGTCTATCTTCTGTTGCCTGTATATGGCTAGTTTGGGGGAACTAAAACTCTCACAGCTGAGACCTTAGGTGAGCAAGAAGGTGTTGTCTTGCCCTAACACAATTGCCCTAACTGGAGAGCTCTCTCCATGGCTTCTCTGGGTCACGTGAGAACCATGGATAAAGCCCACCTGTGTCAGATCCACAGCCACGCACTCCTCTCACTGCTCCTATGGGGAGCAGCCAGTTCGTGCCAACTCAGAAACATGTGATGCCTACCAGAAATCAAACAGTGATGATATCTGGATATTGTAGCATCCCTACAAGAACCTTCAGAACTCAAAGGCACCCCCAGAAAAATTCCATTTTCATTTTTGAAAGCCCGGTGAGAGTGTTACTTTGAACCAGCAAGTTGTATCTGCTGACCAGACTAAATCCCTAGGAGGCTCTCAACTGATGGAGACCTCCCTCTCTGATCCCAGGAGAGAGCAGTCCCTGACAGCCAGGGGAGGGTCCACAAATAAGGCAGCCAGGTGAAGACCCTGAGTGGGAAGGAGACTCTTGTGATCCACAGTACAGCTGTGTGTGGAAGACAGCGGAGCAGCCCTGGTGATAATCAAGATGCTCTCTCTGGAAGGCAACTGACATCTCCTGAACGGGACCATGTGGTCACTAGCCCCAGGATGAAGACCATCTAGTTACTTCTGTGTTTGAGCAGACCATCAAGAAGTATCAAGAGATGTCTGTTACTGGGGAACAAACCCTCAACTTAGACCGATGGCAACCGGAGGGGTAGCATTTCCCTGATGAGGGTCAGGTGGCAGCTCCCTTTTCTAGCCAGTTCCTCCATCCCAGTCAGGTCACATCCTCTGCCCACACTTCTTGTGGGTACAGGAAGAAGGTTACAATTAGTGATGCAACTTGTATGTGGTTCTTCCCCTTCCTAATGCTGTGACCCTTTATTCCAGTTCCTCATGTTGTGGTGACCCCTAACCATATGATTAGTTTTGTTGCTACTGCATAACTATAATTCAGGAATCTTCTCCATGACGTGGCTCTGGGTCTTGAGGTCTGATTTGTCTTGAAGCTGTCCCTACAGAACCTGAAATACTTTCTGGTGGTTGTATTGGGCCAAAGGAGAATGTGAAGAAAATGAGGAGCCTCGGGAACACATGAGGAAGACCAGGATCCTCAGCTGCTTCCCTTTAGGAACCAAACCTCATGTCTAGGAGGATCCTCATTTTCTCCACATTCTTGCCAGTTTGAAATCCTATGTCTGTATATGCTCGGATTGAGGGAGATGTTCCACAAAGTCTTCCCACACCAGAGTCCATATGAGACACACGCTGGGGAGAAGATCTCCATGTGCCCTGAACTGGGGTAGCTGTAGAAATAAACACTCCTGCTCGGATATGCTTAGCACACAGAATAGAAGCCCCGCAGGAGGTGGGGCCACCCGTGTGTCACGTGCAAGAAAAGCTTTTCCAAACTGTTTTACCTCAAGTAAGTTTCAAAGTTGAGATACGCTGTTTCTTTAAACAGGTGTCTTTAAACAGTAGAGGACTTTTAAAAGCTTGGTACTGTGGTGTTGGGTATTTTCAAACTGGTCTTTGTGGTGTTGATAGGCACAGACTATGGGCACCTGGCATAGACTTGGAGCTGTGTTACTTTTGTTACATATATAGTTAAGGATATTCAGTCCTGGTGTGGCAAAACAGTCTTGGGCAGGCAGCCTGGGTTTCCAAAAATGCTACTGTCTTCTCAGAATAGTGGTATGTGGGAGGAACACTGGGGGCATCAGCAGGCAGAGGTAGAAAGCCAGGAAGGTTGTTTGTGCCGCAGAAGGTGACTGCTTCAAAACTCCGGGCAGTCTCAGCTGGAGTGAAAGAAGCACTAACTAGGCTGTGGAGGAGGACTGCTTGAGTCCAAGAGTTTTTACCAACCTGGGGAACATAACAAGGTCCTTTGTTCAAATATAATAAAACAAATAACAAGGTAGATAAGTAAACAAAATACAGTACTTGGTGACTCTCCTGCATAATCCTAGGCTGAACCAGGAACATCCAGAATTTGCTTTGAGCCAGGCCTAAAGATGGAGTCCCTGTATCAAAAATCAGATCAACAAACAAATAAAAAATCAATTGTCAATGCTAAAGTGACCCAAAAGAATTTTCAGTATTTTATACCAGAAGTAATTTTGATTAAATTTCAGCTCCCAAGAAGCTGGAGTCTGTACGCCGGAGCTGGTTAAATCTAGAAATCACATTCTGGGTGTTTACACAGTGACTCAACTCCTAAGAGAAAAATCCTTTGGCTTAGGTCTAGATCTGCTAATTCCATTGGCCCAGAGACGTTCAGTGTCCCTGCCTCACCAAAGAAGAAATCCATCAGTAAAACGCCCCAGCCTACAGTGATGGTAGGGGTGGGGTGAGTCAAGTGCAGTTTCTGGTTGCTGGGACTTACAGAAATGGCTCCAAGGAATCTTTGCTCTTTTGCCAAATGATTCACCCACTTAATTCTAAGTGCCCGGGAGAAGAAGCTTATCTGGGGACTCTGGGTGTGACTCTCCACACCAACACAGGTCCTGGCCTACCATGACCTTCAGGCTAGACTGTGAAGTCCTACCCACATCCCAGCCAGGAGTCTAAAAATAGACTCCAGATTCTGGAGCTGGGTGGCTTTCTCCACA